ACAAATCTGTTGTATATACAATATGTAGAATGTATTCATACAATCATTTTTATATATAGCCACCCTCCTGTTAGCATACCTTTTATGTGCAAAAAGGTGTCATAACCTGGGCCATGCCGGTGTCTGAGGCTGATGGGAGTGTGGGGCTAGAAACACACACTCCTTGCTGTTTCTTCTCCTCCCACCTCCCCCCCAGCCTGTGCCGGTGACTCTTCCTCTCCAAGTCCACTTCCCTTGCGGCTACTTCTGTACCTGAGGAAGTGACCGGTATTTACGTCCTCCCAGCATCTGCAACAGTGCAGGGGCCAAACTGTGCCCCTGTTCAGCAATACCCATCTGGTGGCCTAAAGTTCACGGCCCACATGAAAGGCCCCCTCAGCGCATGAGCCCCGGTGTTGCTGCAGCGGAGGTAGTTCCGTTGCTGAACTGGGTTACTGACATACCAGTAGAAAAGAAATATATTGATATGTCTTTTCTGTTTTTTTTTTTTTAATAATAAAAAGGTATGGGTTCTACAATAAACCTATTTTAATTTTTTTCTTAATATATTTTGTATTTTATTTTTTCAGGAAAATTTAACCTTCACTGTATGCTTAACGTATATGTATCAAGGAATTGAAGATCTCTTGGATGAATGCAAGGCAATTGATGTGGGGAAACCTCTTATATCAAAGTTAGACATTCATTCAGGAATTCGGAATTTCTGTGCACAGACCTGCCCTATACCTCACAGTCCATGTCACAGCCCTGAATACGCAGTGGCTGGATCCCACCAGGTTTTTACAGACTCAAGGTACTCCTCTCCATCAATGCACCTCAATATCTACCATCCACAACGGAGACACGTTACCCAGCATGACATGTATCAGCAGTCTAGGTACTCAAGTATTTCTCCTGACATTAAAATAGGGTACTTATCGGAATCTATGAAAACACAAAATGTTCCTGAGGAAAGTACAGATGAATACATTGACTTTGGAGCTGTATTACAAGAGAAACTTTGACGCCCGCCACCTTATCTAGTAGGTTCAGCATGCGTCACAGCTATTAAAGTTTTGTAATAATATTTACTTTGTGTTACGCAGTCTTTATAAACACTGAATGTTAACAGTATTCAACATTATATTTACAGTATGTAAATTGTGAGATTAAACAGCAATACTGTCTTCAATATTTTTTTTAATGAATGCATTAAATTAAGAGAGCATTTTCCAATAACATTGATATATATTGTAATTCCTTAAGTCTTAAAGGTGCTATTCCCCATAAGCAGCATATTAACTAGGCATATATTTTAAGCAAGGAAAAATAAGCTGAATCTATCTATGAATTAAAATAGCATACAAAAAAAAAAAGAACAAGCCCTGCTTCTATGTGCTTGTTAGTCAATTCACTCTTTCACCAATAGATCTTAACATATAAAACAGCATAAAAGCAGTTAAAGGGTATATACATGCATAATACCTACTAGAGACCATTGTAGGTTGCCTTTTACCTGGTTTTTGTAGGACACGGATCTACATCTAATGCCAGTTGACATCAGGCTTCTACTGAACTGCATAAGGCAGAGATGCTGATCCAGTCATTCGTTCATCTCTCTTCATGCGCTTAATTTTGTACTGACACAGGGTCCTTGCACCATAACCACTTCAAAACACTGACATGGTCATGGTGCTTGGAGTAACCCTTTGAAGAAATACCCCCAGTGTGCTGTAGTGATTATGATGCCAGGAGAACCCTGGTGCACCCCCTCATTTGTAAGATGTTAAATCCATTTTTTGGACGGTTTGACTGCTTACCTAGGGTCCACAAAACACCTCAACCTTCTTACCGAGGGTCCACAAAACACCTAGCTCTATTCACTGAGGTAAGTCTGGAAAATCAGGGCTAGCTCATTGGCTGAGAATGATCAGCTGATGCTCTGTGCCGATGTGCAAGCCCTGCATTACAGGGCTTAGCTCAGGAAAGGTAATGGAATTCAAAGCGATGTAAAACGATAGAACTCTCTGCAGCTTTAGGAAAGGGAGTCAGGGCAATCCTGACACTCTAACCACTACAGCATGCTTGGAGTGTTACTTTAAGAGACATTCTCTCTGCTGCTACTGTAAAAGAGTATTTTAACATACTGAAGCATTCCTTTCCTAGAGGCTAGAATCAATCATGAATATAAAAACAATATTAAACTTAATATAACACATATATACTTAACTTTTTTGTGTTGTTTAGGTAGTTAGAATGTGGCAGCTACCCCTGAGGTGTGTATCCCCTAAAAACTCCCAAACAGAGACACAGACAGTTAAAAAATGTTTACTTATCTTTGTATCTAGAACATTAAATATAAAAAATGCACATAGTATAATACTGTTTTTCTTAAAAATCACTTATGAATATACTGATTGCACTCACAGGACGTAGTAAGTAAAAATTGCTCACTAGTGATGTCCCGAACGGTTCCCCGAACAGTTCGCGAACAGTTCGCCACGGTTCGCCACGGACTCCAGTCAGCAGACACATTTCAGCCAATCAGCAGCAGACCCTCCCTCCCAGACCCTCCTACCTCCTGGACAGCTCACTAAGAATGCAGCTTCAAAATGGATGCTGTCCAGGAGGTGGGAGGGTCTGGGAGGGATGGTCTGCTGCTGATTGGCTGGAATGTGTCTGCTGACTGGAGTCCGCAGCGAACCGTGGCGAAACCGTTCGCGAACCGTTCGGCGAACCGTTCGGGTCATCACTGTTGCTCACCGTTGTCTCACCTCTATCTAGGGGAGGGGGCTAAAGGTATCCTCTTCACCTTTCACTACCTTTTCATGCAGCAGAAACACTCAAATTTCGCTCAGGGTATGTTGCAACCGCGGCTAGTTCCCTTATTTACCACTATAATATCTTAAAGCATAGAACTTAGTAGGGCTAACCATACAGATATCTTAGCCATCATTTTTTATAGTTAGTAAGAGATCCTTTATTTAACATATATAAATAATTGAGAATACAATATAAAATAAGGATTGTCTTGGAAGCAATAGTTTTGTCTTTTAGATATTTATTATATAAAAATATAAATATAGACATATAAAATCCATTATAGCAGAGTTTATAAGATTAATTAAATGCTTGCAAATATCATTAATAGGTTAACATACCCTTCTGAACATGTAATCATGTCAGCCTCTGTGTCATTTTAAGATGGAGCAACGTCTGTCTCCAAGTCTCTCCTCTGTGTCTTAACATTTAAAAGTACACCTATTTATACCTTAGGTGTCTCCATTTTGGGGTTACCGTAGTTCATATATGAAAAGGTAACACTTATTTTACTTTATTCATTTTTGGACCTCCCTTAACTTGGCAAACATACAAGGCCATAACTAAAGGGTGTATACGTCATGGAAATTTTCCTGACTTAGTTCAAGATGGCATCTTAAAGTCTGAATAGCTTATCTGTTGTTTATACTAAGACGTAAGTGCACAGTCGTGAGAGATTCCCGGATTTGGGGAAGTTCCATTAACTTGGAGTTACCACAGTATATTGTGTACTGAAAGAGTCGTAGTATAGCCTTGATGCTTGTTTATGCATTATTGTTATTGTAATTCGTCTGGGACGAAATGGCGCAAACATATTATGCACTGAGGTTATTGCTTAAAGAAACATCTATGAAAAACAATATGTTCCATTTCTAACACCTTGTCAATTTGCAATATCTCTTAAAGACAAAGTTTAAGAAATACAACATTTCATTCTAAAACTTGTAATATTTGCATTTGCCCATAACAATGTAGCTGTAGTTGTTTTCAATTTATTAGTAAGTAATATAAAAAACATATTACCAGTTCTACGCGTTTCGTGCAGCCTATGTAGACTTTCTCAGGGACCATCACATTAAGAACATTATAAACAAACAAACAACCATATCCAAAATAGTATTCATGTTCCAGGGAGGTGTGACACCCCCAACAAAGAGGACTGAATATCTGCAACAGCCGAACATGAATTATCCAGAACAATGAAACCATCAGTGAATGGCAGGGTATGGATAATATTTAGACGGACACATGGGAGGATACATATAGCATCCCCGAACTACATTGAGGTGAGGTGTATTACACTGGTGTGTAATATTTACTTAACACATTCTGTGAGTGCAATCAGTACATGCGTTTGTGAATTTTAAGAAAACAGTATTATATTGTGTTAATTTTTTCAATGTCATTTTCTAGATACAAAGCTGGAACCCAATTTGTTTTATCTGTAAAACTAATCACCCAATAAAATTCTAAGTTAGAAAACATTTGATGTGATCATCATATTCTTTCTAAGAATGGAATAGTGTTATTAATGTTCTTAGTGTTCTTAATACTATATTTAATTCAATCACGTTCATTAAAGAGTACCATTAAGATTTCAAACAAGAGACCTTCAATGTATAAATTACATTATATATATATATATAGTTAATGCAATGTTAAACACAAGTACACACACCAGTCAAGCCATAAGACTTGCTTTTACCACAGAAATCTCACTTTAACAGTGCTCTCACTACTGCAAGGGATTCTGGGTAGGCATATGCTCAACAAAGAACCAATTTTCGCCTCATAATTCCACTTTATACATGGATTCCTTGGAGTATGTGTCTGCTGCATACAACAGCTTTGAAACACAACTCAGGAAGAGGAGCAAAGCCAATGAATCACTCGTGGACAGCTGTTTCATTGTTATTTCAACTCATCAACATGAGATAGGTTACTGGCTGGCTATGGAGGCTTGGCGTTAATTGTTGATATATATAATGTGTGTGTATATACATATATAAATATATATAAAGAAACTTGTTTTTTGTGCTTCTTACTGATACTGCCTTTCAAAAGACGTGATTTTTATTAGTAAATAATTATCACAATTTTAATTATATACATGGTGCTGTGTCACTTAACCTATAAAGCCCTTCACTACGAAGTTTTCTTTTCAGAAAATTAATGAAAAAAAGATATATATATATATATATATATATAGAGAGAGAGAGAGAGAGAGAGAGAGTTTTTTTTTTACTTGAAATAAACCTTGCATATGGCATTAGGACACAGACAATTTCATTATAGCTTGTTGCTTATGGTGAATGAGCCCACTATGCAGAGAATAGGACAAAGCAAATCACTTAAAGGACCACTCTAGGCACCCAGACCACTTCAGCTTAATGAAGTGGTCTGGGTGCCAGGTCCAGCTAGGGTTAACCCATTTTTTCAAAAACATAGCAGTTTCAGAGAAACTGCTATGTTTATCAATGGGTTAAGCCTTCCCCCTAGTGGCTGTCTCATTGGAGCGCTAAATGATTCTCACTGTGATTTTCACAGTGAGAGACATTATAAAAGCATTGATAATGCTTTCCTATGCGCTGAATGCGCGCGCAGCTCTTGACACGCGGCGCATTCAGCCGACGGGGAGTTTAACCCCTTTTCCCCTTTCCAGAGCCCGGCGGGAGGGGGACCCTGAGGGTGGGGGCACCCTCAGGGCACTATAGTGCCAGGAAAACAAGTATGTTTTCCTGGCACTATAGTGGTCCTTTAACTTAAAGTATTTCTTGGTTAAATAAATAGCATAAACTGGAAAGTCCACGAACAAGACCATATAGTGCGGGATCAGGACCAGCAAAACAAATTAAAGTCTTATTAGATAATTCGGGCAGGACCAGCAGAAACAAAAGTATACAGTATATGGCTAGGTTAACCAAGGCAGGTTCAAGCACACACAATTCTGTGCTCTAGTTACACAGAATTAACATTAACCAGCCCAGAACCAAATTTCAGGAGTGAAGTGGATAAGTAATGATTACAGTTTTTGGCACCAGTGGATATTGAATGACATCAAAGACAGCTTATACAAAGATAGAAACATGTAACCTCACCCCACCCTTCCCCATTTTTGTTGAGATTACCTGCTTTTATCTTTGTATTTGATAATACTTGCACATTACCTCTATGAATTCAGTGACTTGTTACTCCACTTTCCAATCATGTCCATCTTGAAAATGTTCTATTAAATGGATACTATAAGTGCCAGGAATACAAAGCAGTATTCCTGACACTATAGCTCCGTCTGCCCCCTCCCTTCCTCCCTCGCGCCCCCATGACATCAATAAAGGGTTAAAAACCCTTTATTTACTTTCCTTACCCTAGCGCCAATATACCTTGGCGCTGGGTCGCGGCTCTGCCTCCTCCGACGCCCCGCAAATAATCAATGTTTTCCTATGGGAAAAAAAACTGACGCTGGATGTCCTCATGCAGAGCGTGTGGACGTACAGCGTCAGTTACCGGACCAAAGGGAGACAGCCACTTGAGGCAGACAGTGCTGCAATGTAAACATTTCAGTTTCCCTGGAACAGCAGTGTTTAACATTGCAGCATTAAGTGTAATAGGGACACTGCACCCAGACCACTTCAATTAGCTGAAGTGGTCTGGGTGCCTATGGTGTCCATCTAACAGCCACTCTCTGTACTCGGTCTTAATGCCAATATTCAATCCAACAAAAACATTTATAACCTTGAATGTACATAATTTTATTTTCAGGCCTCCCTGAATATCTGTTGCTAATTTATTTTATTTTTTATTTTATACATAAATGTGATATTTTATTTTTGTTACGAAAAACCAACAACGCGTAGTGAATGGTTTAAGTCTTGTAAGTATAGATAGCGACCTTTGCTGTCAGTTTTATTATTGAATTAAATTTAGTTGTATGTATGCTAATATTGCTGTGACTAGGCTACAACGAACATATTTTAAAATCATGTTTGTTTGACTATTAGAAACTGTATGGTTTTGCCTGTTATTTAAAGGGACACTGTAACTTCCTGAGATTATTAATATATTTACTTGTCATCTATATTAAACAAATTTGTATTTTTGAAGTTTTCAAAAATAAAAATAAGTCTTGAAATCAGCATCTCTTTATCCTTTAGTGAGAGCCTCCATCTTAGTTCACTATCAGTCATTGTTATAACCTCTGTCCTTTTAACCTGGCAGGCAGAATAGAGAAAAAATACAGAGAAGAAGAGACATTAGACTCTGTTCTATTTCACCCCGTAGCTATGTTTTTACCCTAGCTTTTCTTTTTCTGGACTGAATTGAGATGTAATTTGCTAAATATTTAACATCAGTTTAAAAGAAAATGGCGCAGGTCATGAAATAGGGCAACACAAATTAAAGGTGGTTTTCAATATTTTAATGCTGCTCCAACCTATCTATCCTCCCTAATACACAAGTATGTCCGTCCAGGCCCCTGCACTCTGCCGAAGACCTGTGTCACTATACCCCACTCCCTCTAGCATGTAAGCTCATTGAGCAGGGCCCTCAATCCCTCTGTTCCTGTGCGTCCAACTCATCTGGTTACAAATACGTGTCTGTTAGTCCACCCATTGTACAGCGTTCTATAAATAATAAAATATTAATAATATCATATGGTATAAATAGCAGAGAGGTGACCGTTTCCCATTAAAGTGATAGTAATACAATGGTATTTAACGCCTTCATTACATTAGCATTAATTGAAAAGTACTATTAACTGTAAAGCTTTAAAAAGATGACAAAAGCTCAAGATCCAAACCATTGTAAAGATCTCGGAGTTGATAGAGTGCCGGTAAACAAGGTTTATGCGGGGAAGTTGTGGTTAAGTGAGTTTACACAAATTCCAAACAGAGACAGAAACATAATGCCTTGCAGTATATCATGCTAAATGGCAAAACAACGAAACTCGCAAAGCAAAATAAATGTGACAGCTTTCAACTTGTAAAGGCTTATTTAATATTTAGCGTGTGTAATCTCTCATATTTTAGTGCATACAACAAAAAAGAGAAATGTTCTGAGTGTCCTTTGATGCTGTGATGTAGAAGTATTTCATAGCGAGTGCAGATTTGTTCCTCACTCTAGAGAGGTTCTTTAGCTTAATTCTAAACTCTCTAATCTCGATCTCAGCAGCTGACACAAGAACTTTAAATGAACACTAACATTAGAAATACAAACATGTATATTATTATTATTATTATTATTATTTATGTAACTCCAACAACTTCTGCAGCGCTGTACAATGGGGATACCCGATGTGAGAGTGATATCCTAACTGATTAGATTATTAGGCTTTCCCTGAAACTTTTAAAGAGACAATATAGTCCCCAGAGCAACTGCAGCTTAATGTAGTTGTTCTGGTGTCTATAGTATGTCTCTGCAGGCTTTTTCACGTGAACACTTCCTTTTCAAAGAAAAGTCTAGGGGCACCTCCGGTGACCGTCACTCAGACGGCCACTAGAGCTGTTTTCTGGGTTATGCAGCACTGACATTCAGCGTCTTAACGCTCTGCATGGAGGCACTGAATATACCCCATAGAGATGCATTGATTCAGTGTGTGCCAGTGTGTGCTTTGGCCAGTGTGTGCATTAGCCCCCCATTGCTTTCCTAAGGGAAAGCATTGGATTGGCTGTGATTGTCAGTTTTGATGATCTCAGCCAAGAAGATGGGAGGCAAAAGGGGGGGAGGGTTAAGGGGGTTAAGCCAATGTACCTTTCCAATCCCTCTCTCTTATTACTAGCAAACAATGTGAGGTAACTAATACTAAAAGAGGCAGTTACCCTTTTCCTTACTGGGCATGAGAATGTTTATATTGTCATCTCTTTAACTAGCTCTATAAAGGAAAAGCACACCTATAATACCTACTAGTATTTCTGTAAATAGACCTCCCTTGTCTATTTATCTCTCCCTCCTTTCATACAGGGAAACGTTTATAGAGTTTCACCTTGTTTTGGGTGATTTTACTAGGTTTTGCTGCGTGGTAATTTACTTGCTTATGTATTTACATGTTATTTCTGTTTTTTTGTTGTTAATGCAAAATGACAATATATGGTACAAATATAAAATTATATTTATAAAACCAACATTTCACAAGTAGCAATATTAAACATGATGGGATATTAATATAACCAGAAAACAGAACTGTGAGTAACTTTGTTTCTCTAGCGATAGCTAGTGTACACATCCAGTTGTTGCATTAAAATGTTACTTCTTACACTGTTTTCATCTGTTATGGGTGTTTATGTTTAATTGTTTAAAAGGACACTGTAGGTACTTTAACTGCTACATTTTAATGAAGTCGATATAGTGTCTAGACTCATTTGGCACTGTCTTTGCATTTAGCATTGAACTGTTTTTAATGTTAAATGAGAGTCCCCAACAACCCATCTGCTTTGTGCATTAGCTTGAGCAGAAATGGCAGCTCTGAATGGTTGAGAATATAAACTGACCACTTTCAACCTATCACGGTGCCCTTTGCTGGTATGAATTGGTATGTCTAGAAGAAGTGTCTAATCTCCAACTTTGCCCTACCTTCAGTTGTGGGTAGCCAGGGTTCTACTGCTCGAAAATGATTCAGCATGGTGGGACACCGTCTAAGGACTCCAAACACTATACCCAATTCAATGAGATCAAAAGGTTATAGTATCTACAGAGTCCTTATATATAGGCATTTGTTTCCTACCAGAGCTTGTAAAACCTGAAGCTGCCTTTTAAATGATGCAGCACCTTTAATTGTAGTGCCAATGCCAACATCTCTCTAAAATATACAGGTTCCTTCTATTCATTTAACCTTGTTTTGAATTAAATATTTTGATTGGGTAGTAAAGGTAACAGTATGGGTACTATAGAGAAAAGCTATTTTCCTTTGGCTACTACCCTGACACTGTATTTGAGGAAGTGGCGTTATTAGTTCCAAGGGAAATGGACATCCCCAAGGGAAGATGATTGAAGTACTCTGTGCCTCAACTATTTCCTAGTCTGTGTTATTGACCTTGAGTTGTGACCTTGCCAAATAAGTGCCCAACAGATCAATCTCATAGTTAACTTTTGTCCATTTTATTTACCCATTGTTTCTCAGAATAAAAATAAAAATGCCTATACATTTATCTTGACATACTCATTATGCATCTGATTTGCATAGAGCACCAACATTCCATCACTGTGCAGAGTTCAGTAATAATATGTCTATATATCCAATTCAAGCAAAAGGAAAATGGTTTTGGAATTAAATGTCCTTCAATCCAGAGTCTAAGGTATTTAAACTCTCAATTGAAGGAAATTGAATTCTAAATGGCACAATTGAGGCATCTGGACACACTTTTCTGACTCTGCCCTAGGCATAGCTTCATTATTTTATCCTAATTTTTGCTATTCATTTTTTAAGTCTCTACAATTGAAAGTTTAGCGATTAAACCACATACTTTGCATAGTTCCCATAACAGTCCAATGTTTTTGATTGCATATCTGTGTATAATCTAAAGCTTTTCAAAAATTTACTTTTGCACAAGTTCTTATGCACATTTGATAGAGCTTTTATTTATTTTTTTCTTCTTACAAATGACAGGTTCAGATTAATAGCAGTGATTTTAATGATGTTTCCCAATTTGCAAAAGTGAATGCCATGATAGATACTTAACCAAGTTTCCTCATAAGTGCGGAGAATTGCTTATATTTTTCTTTAGATTATTCAAAAACAAGCACAATGTTTTGATCGTACAGAGTCCAAGTCTTATCACATGGTACCACGGCAGATACCAATGAACAGGAAATGGATTTTTAAATAGATTTAATTTTATACCACAGAGCCAAAGCAGGAAGTCAACAAAACTTGGTCGGAAAAAAAACTCAACATCTTAAGAACTAAAGTATTTCTAAACTGAAAGGTAATAAAGAAATTTCGAGGGTTTCCTTCTATTTTAGGAGAAATTTGCAAATCTCTAAGATTTTGTGTCTTGTTCTGGTTAAACATCAAAAGCTATCTAAGAAGTCTAAATTCTACTCTTTGTGTGGACTTGTCTCTGTTCTGAGAAAAGTTAACAGGTGAACACGAATCGTCATGTGACAAATTGACAGGGTTATTCAATAAATTGTAAATTGGTGTGTCAAATGTTAGACTGAAAATAGACTGAAAATATATTGGCGTTGAATATTTTTCCTTTTTTTCAGTTCTGCTATTGTGGCCTAAAACTTTAAATTCCCTTTTCAATTTACTCCAATTAATGAAAAATTACAAATTTAGCCCCAAATGACTGCTGGATTACTGCTCCCAATATACTGCTCCCATGTCTGACTCACACTTGTTTTATATGCAGGGGTTAAAGGACAACTCCAGGCACCATAAAAATAAATCAGCCCTGTCATGTTTTATTTTCGCTTAGTTTTTATTTCCTATGTCACTGTGTCTTAAAAAGTAACTGTAAGCCTTTTCAAACATTAGTTGTTTTTGTTTTGTTTTTTTACCTCAAAATGTCCTATTGGCAATCCAAGCAGTTACCCAGGAGCCAATCGTTGGCGATCGAAGTCAATTAATACAATGTCACAGCCAATGATTTGTATCATGGGCTATGACATTGTATTTTCCCTCCCATTTTGATCTCTTAGTTAGCAGTGTTCCAAGTGCTAGTGTGTGTTTAAACATTTAAAAAACAAAATGGTAGGTTTAACCCTTTCACTTACATAGACAACATTACCAAAAAAAGTGTGCTAGTACTGGAGATGGTAAATCTGTAAATAAGCAAAGGATAATAAAGTAATAAAATATAGGGGCCTGTTGCCTTTCTATCCTGTATCACACAGAATTGTTTGGTCACAGAATTTTCCCTCTCAAGTGGAGCCTTGCAAACCCAGAGCCTGACCCAGCACTGAGGGACATTGGCACAGGATTCAGGTAAGTCACTGAACATGGGATGGGGGTTGAGAGGGAGAGGGGCACTGCAGGGTCCTGCAGTGCCAGGAAAACATATCTGGAGAGTCCCTTTAAGTACTCTGGACCTGTATTGGTTGAAAAAATTCTCTGTATTTTAAATTCAACATTCTCTCAACCCTGAGTAGTTTCCCAGTCCCTGCAGATGAACAACTTCCCCAAAGCATGATGCTAACAGCACCATGCTTTACCATTGGGATTGAGCAGATGATGAAACAGTGCCTGGTTTCCTCTAGACATGACATTTTAAGATTAGGTCAAACAGTTTAGTCCTTGTTTCATCAGGCAGGAGAATCTTGTTTCTTAAGGTCTGAGAGTCTTTTAAGTGAGGGATGTGCTGTGCATAGGTAAAAAAGATAAAAAATATAGTTTTGAAATATTACATTTTCTAATTTCAGTTTGGACGAACTGAATTTAGTCTGAAAAAATTGTTAATTTCCAAAATTCTGAAACCCATTATTCCCTCTGTAGAAGTAGTAATCACAAAGTTACAAAGTACCAATTTAGGGAGTTATCTGCTAAACTGCTGAAAGATAAAATTTAAGAAAAGCACTTTTCTTAATTTTGATATTTCAGCTGTTTACTAGATAATTCCCTAATTTGCTATCCTTATGTGGAGAGTGTCATAAGGATACCAATTATCAAATAAAGGGGCTATCTGCAAAAAAAAAGTGCCCTAATTTGATACCTTTCATTATGGCAATCCCACGTAAGGATATCAAATTAGGGATCTATATATTAAACTGCTGAAAAATCTAAATTAAGGAAATCCCTTTTTTACTGTTTTCCTTTTAATGGTTTGGTAGATAACTCCCTAATTTTACATATTATCCACATTAACAGAACTGACATAATTTGTTTTGAATTAGTTCAGTTTTGATTTGCATTATTTCGGAAAGCTGGATGCTTGCCGATGAATTTCTGAATTTGGACCAAATTCAGTTCAGAACTAAATAATTTGCATATGTCTACCTTAATGCTTTTTTTTTTTCAAAATTGCAAGCAGATTTTCAGTGAGGAGAGGCTTCTGTGTGGCCAGTCTGCCATTACATCCAGAATGTTGCTGTGATGGTTGTCCTTCTGCAAGTTTTTCCCATGTCCACATGTGGTCTCTGGAGCCATTGGGTTTTTGGTCACCTCTCTTACCAAGGCCCTGCTGTACCGATTACTGAGTTTGGCTGAGCAGCCAGCTACAGTTAGAATCCTGGTTGTTTCAAACCTCTTCTGTTTCAGAATGATGGAGGCCACTGTGCCCTTGGGAACCTTCAATGCAGCCAAAATTTTGTTGGCTTTTCATAGATTTGTGCCTCAACACAATCGCCTCTCTAAGCTCTGTAGGCAGTTACTTTGACCTCATGGCTTGATTTTTGCTGTGATATATATTTACAGCTGTGAGACCTTATGCGTGTAGACAGGTTTGTGCCTTTCCAAATCATGTCCAATCAGTAGACTTTGCCACTTGTGGACTCCAATGGTAGTGTCATCTCTAAGTTGAATCAGATAAATGGGATGCATCTGCAATAAATTTCAAGTGTCATAGCAAATAATCGTAATACTGTAGTCAAGGTTACATTTCAGTTTTTTTTCTTTTTAATACATTTGCAAGGTTTTTGTATTATCAATATGTGTAGACTAATTAAAAAAAAAAAGCTAAAATAAATTTAAAGCATTGTAACATGGGTCTGCAACATAAGAAATGTGAAAAAATGGAGTGGTTTGGATATATACTAAATGCATTGTATTTTTGGCTAGAACTTGTGGTCATAACTGATAATAATGTTGTTGTCATCAAATTTGACCTCTGCAGCATTGAAAGGAATTCACCTGAAATTAAAGTGCCTCACAATATCATAAGAAGTACACCGTGAAAAGAAGCAGAGTTTGTTAGTTGGCATATCCAAACAAATGCCATTATTAAATTGAAGGTGCTTATAAAAAAGTCTGAAATAATTAATTTTCTGGAAAAAAAGCATCGACCAAGCAAGTCCCTACTTAGTCCTACATCTACTCTGCCAATGACTGTAAGCCAGCTCTTAGCATACTCTTTGGTCAGATTAAGCTGAAGCTTAAAAGTGGTTTTTCAATACATAAAAAAACACACCACACAATTTTAATAAGAATATATTCTATGTACATGTAGTTTCAAAGTAGTTTCTTTGCAAATAAGATTAAAGTGCCCCTACACAGCTTGTTTTCTGAGGTTGTTGGAAGATTATTTATTACAATCTTTCCAACAGAATTCTTGTTAAATTCACAGCTTGTATCTGTTGCCAGAGTAACTGCTAAGTATAGAGAGCTCTCATCTATTCTACTCTGAAATAATAGTGTCAGATCCCATGAACTGACAAAGAGCACCTTTATAATGCTTAGCTGATTGATTTTGAGAATTGATATGTCTACTAATTATTCCTCATAATGTCATTCATAAACTTCTCAGGAACATTTCGAATAACAACCAAGTCATGCAATGTTTACAATAGAGATTTGGAAAAAAATTATTTTCATTGCAGATAAGGCAGAAAAACAATTCTGTGTGAAAATACTGACATTTAGTGAGGTTTATTAGATATGCATTTTATTTTTAGTAGAAGACACAGTAGTCACCATCACTGGTAGCACAAGATGGACACGTCAATTAGATCCCTGGATGACTCATATGTTTAAAGGACCAATATAGGCACCCAGACCACTTCAGCTCAATGAAGTGGTTTGGGTGCCAGGTCCATCTAGGGTTAGCCCTGCAGCTGTAAATGTAGCAGTTTCAGAGAAACTGCTATTTTTACATTAGGGTTAATCCAGCCTCTAGTGGCTGTCTCATTGTCAGCCGCTAGAGGCGCTTCCGCACTTCTCACTGTGAAAATCACAGTGAGAAGACGCTGCTGTCCAAAGGAAAGTATTGAGAAATGCGTTGGACTGATTAAATGCGCGCGCGGCTATTGCCGCACATGCGCATTCAGCGCTGAAGTCGGAAGAGGGAGGAGATTTCCCCAGCGCCGAAAGAGCCCGGTGCTGGAGAAAGGTAAGTGATTAACCCCTTCCTCCCCCTTCAGCCCAGCAGGAGTGGGACCCTGAGGGTGGGGGGGGGGGGACATAAAGACCCTCTAGTGCCAGGAAAACTAGTTTGTTTTCCTGGCACTACAGTGGTCTTTTAAGTCACCCTGTGCCCATTGTGGATGCAGAGTGTGTTTAATGTGGTTTTTGGTGTTAAATGTTGTGTGTGTTATCCTGTCCTGCTGATTCACTCAGCAATATAGGTGGATATGACTGTGGAGCCAGTACAGCGCCATCTGTAGGGATTCTGAAACAGCATTATACACTATCTGAATAGCAAGGCTTGTTAATTTGCATATTTAGGTAGATTTGCAGATTATGAATTCTGGAGGCAGGAGAGATATTTCATGTTAGTTATTGTCTTACCTACCCATTTATGAATATGTTATTATGCTATTATAATTTCCTGTATGTGTTCTAGTATGATTTGGTTATTTGTATTATATTGAGTTTGTCACAGCAAATGTAATGCTATGCGCATATGGGCTAGTCCTGAGTTAAAACTAAAGTTCAGTATATGAATCTTTTTCTCTAATGACTTTTTCTCCTTTGTCTTGTCTGCTCTGTTGCATTGTCTGATGTTTTCCCAGTTTTTCTCCTCTCTGGTTTTTATTTGTGTTGGTTGTGACTCTCCCAGGCCTGGTTCCTGTGCCCTCCTTTACTCACTCTGGGTGAACTGCCACATAACAAATTAGTTTAGCTGTTTGCAGTGTGACTGGGACAAGCTAGCCGGAACATGCATGTTTTTGCATGCAGCACTCACAGTCGCCATCTTGGTTATGAGCTGCCGCTTGCAGCACTTTTCTTTCTCTTTCACAATATAACATTGGTTAGTTAGTTCCTGTGGGATCTCTTGGTGAGAAGAACAGTGTTTTCTCTCTGTGTACTGCATTGTGTATACTGCCAAAGTACCACTATTTTTCAAGTGCACTCCTTTCTTGTGGTTTCCTACTAACACCATCATACCTGTTCACACTGTCCTTCAGTATTAGGGGTTTCTACCACTGGGTGTCCTTGTCCCTGGTAGTTATATCTTCGGGATATTTTCCTGCTGGTCCATCTACCAACAAGCTAACAACCTTTGCCTTAGGACTTCCTCCTCTCTGAGGAAACCTTACCAGACCAAATAATTTAAGACAAATTTCATACACTCCCTTATGCCACTATGGCCAAATCCTTTACCCAAGCAATTATTCTGCTATGGGCATTATAAGCAATATATTACAGTCCACTGCACTGATTTCCACCCAACATCCTTAAACCGCTATACCCCCTGCTCCACCTGAGGACTCACCAACCTTGGCCTCTTATTGCCGGAAGGCAACTTCTAAATCACACCAGATGAAAATTGCACACTCTATCACTGACAATGTAGTTACATCACAAAACCCCTACATCAGGAAAAAACAGTGAGGCAATGGAAGAGCTAAGACTCTACTACACACATCCGACTCTGAATCATTTTCTGAGGAGGTGTAGGATGAGTCTGTGATGGATCTCTTCCAGACACTGAGACTTCGTCTGCCCCGACTGATACTGTCATACCCATGACAGATGATTCTGCCCTGCTTGATCCTTAAGGCTAGCCTTTGCTCAACCCAGGTGAGCTGCATCACCTTAAGTTGGTGGACTGGTACCTTACTCCAACCATGGCCGCTGTCCTGTCATTATTCCTTTTCACCCTTTTGCCTTATATCTCTGACCATACTACACCCACATCATCACATGGTGTCTCTGAACCTCATCATCCCCATTTCAAACTTTTTGGAACCCATAGAGCTGCCAAGTGTGGGCTAGTTGATGCATCGGACATCAAGTGGAGACCGTATCAGCTCCTGTAAACTGCATCCTTTTTTTTCACATTAAGCGTAGCCTCTCTAAGATCCTTTAATACTTACCTATCCTTTTCCATGTTGGGTTGATCCTGGCACAGAACCTCTTCAAGCCAGACATTCTACAGTGTGGGATGTTTACATAGTCCTTCTTTGTAAACCACCCAATGCTGATCTTTCACTTTAGTATTTGTCAGCTAAATTAGTAATGCCTAATTTCCAGCAAATGTGTATCTGATGTCTGGGCTCTTGATATTGCTACACACTCCTTCACTCCGTCTGGTGTCTCTTTTGACATCTCCAGATGCACTAAAAATTCAATTAAGTAGGTTTCTTATCCTACTTTCCTACAAAATGTCCAGCTATTCTGTGTTCCTGTCTAAGAGAATATGAATTCAGGACTTCACCTTCTCATCGGTAGTTATTCCTAGATCTGCATAGGCCTTATTATCCACTCTCCACAATCCCATTAGCCAGTCGATGGAATCTGTGGGTAATGATACTTCTGCCTTCAGGTCTCATTCCACCAGGGCAGTCATGGTCTCTAAAGTGTTCTCTTTGAACTGTATCTTGGAGGAGCTTCTCAAACTTTCAGACTGGTTTTAGGAATCCACTTTCTGTGAATGTTATATTTGGCCTCCTTCTCATTTCACCTCTATTGTTATTGTTCAGCTTTAAATAAGCATAATATGAGCCTCCCTGTCTTTTAAAAAAATAACCAGATGGTGTAAAGTTATGAATTTATTAAAGACATGGAGGCAAAGTCAAGTGAGACTGCAGTAGCATGATCTATACACAAAAACTGGTTCATTAAGGCAGGGACGTTTTAGCCGCGAGGCAAACAAGGCATTTGCCTTGGGCGGCATTTTCCAGGTGGCGGCAAAAAAAGCCACCCCCAAATGCCCAGGGCAAATGTCTTGTTAGCCTTGCGGCTAACTGACATGCTGGGCGGGCTGATGGGCTGGCTGCTGGGCGGGCGGCTGGCGAGGGAGCACTTTCCCGAGCTCTCAGCTCCCTCGCGCGCCGCCCGCAGAGTGAGGCTGGGAGCCGGAAAATGATGTCAGGGGAAAATGCTCCCTCACCAGCCGTCCGCCAGTGCCGCCCACCCAGCAGCCACTGGACCCCCAGGGAGAGGAAGAACCCCCCCAGCATTCCCAAAAGGTAAGGAGGCTGGGGGGTTAAATAAAAACACAAGTGAGTATATTAGTGTGTGTGTATGTTAGTGTGTGTGTGTGTCTGTCTGTTAATGTGTGTGTGTCTGTTAGTGTGTGTGTGTGTGTGTGTCTGTTAGTGTGTGTGTCTGTCTGTTAGTGTGTGTGTGTGTGTGTCTGTTAGAGTGTGTGTGTTAGTGTGTGTGTCTGTCTGTTAGTGTATGTGTGTGTGTCTGTTAGTGAGTGTGTATGTGTGTTTGCCTGTTAGTGTGTGTGAGTGTGTTTGCCTGTTAGTGTGTGTGAGTGTGTCTGTGAGTGTGTGTTTCTTTTTTTGTGTGTGTTTCTGTTAGTGAGTGAGTGTGTGTCTGTTAGTGAGTGTGTGTTTCTGTTAGCTAGTGTATGTGTATCTGTCAGTGAATGTGTGTGTGTGTATTTAGAAGGCAGGGCAGGGGGGAAGGGTTGGGTGGGGGTGGCACGGGGTGGGGGGTTGCCTGAGTTTTGTCCTGCCTAGGGCAGCACAAAACCAGGATACACCACTGCATTAAGGTCTTCTTTTGCCTATAGAGTTCCTTTAAGGAAGAAAACATTGTATGGAAAGGCAGGTGGCAGGGTTTAACATCATCCAGGGTCCGAAGGGTCTTAAAAAAAGGAAGCCTCAGCAGTCTATTGTAGTAACTTCTTGCATTAATGGCAACTGGCATTATTTCAGTTTACTGATCTTTCACAAGATTTAATTAACAATAATGTAGACAGACACATAACACCCAATCAACTTCAAACATAGGGCATAATTTGGATATAACACAGGTTTCAGTTATTTCACAACTCAAGATAATGTAATACAATCAAAAATATCTTAACACAATACTATAAATTGGTTTCACGGAAAGG